ATCCCCCCAAAATTCCCCAAAATCCCCCCAAAATTCCCCAAAATCCCCCAAAATTCCCCAAAATCCCCCAAAATTCCCCAAAATTCCCCAAAATCCCCCAAAATTGCCCAAAATTCCGGATTTTGGTACCTGCAGGGCGGGCGCCGCGTCCAGAGCTCCCGGCAGCCCTGGGGATTCGGGAAAATTTGGGAAAATTCGGGAAAATTTGGGAAAATTTGGGGAAATTTGGGAAAATTTGGGGGATTTGGGGAAATTTGGGAGATTTTGGGTGTTTTTGGGTTATCTTGGGGTGAATTTTACCATTTTTAGGGTGAATTTGGATGAATTTTGCCATTTTTGGGGTGAATTTTGCCATTTTTGGGGTGAATTTTGCCGATTTGGGTGAATTTGGGACATTTTGGGTGTTTTTGGGGTGAATTTGAGATTTTTGGGGTGAATTTGGCCGGTTTTGGGGTGAATTTTGCCATTTTTGGGGTGAATTTTGCCATTTTTGGGGTGAATTTTGGTGCTTTTGGGGTGAATTTTGCCGATCTTGGTGAATTTGGGACGTTTCGGGTGTTTTTGGGGTGAATTTGAGATTTTTTGGGATATCTTGAGGTGAATTTGGATTATTTTGGACGTTTTTAGGGTAAATTTGGGATATTTTGGGGTGAATCTGGGGGATTTTGGGTCCCACCTTGCAGCCCAGCCCCAGGACCGGATTTCCCTTTTTTGGGGTGAATTTTGGGTGAATTTTGGGATATTTCACGGTGAATCTTAGTGTGAATTTTTTTTGTGAATTTGGGGTTATTTTAGGGTGATTTTTGGGGTGAATTTTGGGGTGAATTCGGGGGATTTCAGGCTGGTTTTTGGGGTGAATTTTGGGATATTTCAGGCTGGTTTTTGGGGTGAATTTTGGGGTGAATTTGGGATATTTCAGGCTGGTTTTTGGGGTGATTTTGGGGTGAATTCGGGGGATTTCAGGCTGGTTTTTGGGGTGGTTTTTGGGGTGAATTTGGGATATTTCAGGCTGATTTTTGGGGTGGTTTTTGGGGTGAATTAGGAGTATTTCAGGCTGGTTTTTGGGGTGAATTTTGGGGTGATTTTGGGATATTTCAGGCTGGTTTTTGGGGTGGTTTTTGGGGTGAATTTGGGGGATTTCAGGCTGGTTTTTGGGGTGAATTTTGGGGTGATTTTGGGATATTTCGGGCTGGTTTTTGGGGTGGTTTTTGGGGTGATTTTGGGATATTTCAGGCTGGTTTTTGGGGTGAATTTTGGGGTGATTTTGGGATATTTCAGGCTGGTTTTTGGGGTGAATTTTGGGGTGATTTTGGGATATTTCAGGCTGGTTTTTGGGGTGGTTTTTGGGGTGAATTCGGGGTATTTCAGGCTGGTTTTTGGGGTGGTTTTTGGGGTGAATTTGGGATATTTCAGGCTGGTTTTTGGGGTGGTTTTTGGGGTGAATTTGGGATATTTCAGGGTGGTTTTTGGGGTGAATTTTGGGGTGAATTTGGGGTATTTCCGGGTGGTTTTTGGGGTGGTTTTTGGGTGAATTTTGGGGTGAATTTGGGATATTTCAGGCTGGTTTTTGGGATGATTTTTGGGTGAATTTTGGGGTGATTTTGGGGTATTTCCGGGTGGTTTTTGGGGTGTTTTTGGGTGAATTTTGGGGTGATTTTGGGGGATTTCAGGCAGGTTTTTGGGATGATTTTTGGGTGAATTTTGGGGTATTTCAGGCTGGTTTTTGGGGTGAATTTGGGGGATTTTGGGGTATTTCAGGCCCCACCTTGCGGCCCAGCTCGGCCCAGGCCCAGGCCCGGATTTCCCTTTTTGGGGTGAATTTTGGGGTGATTTTGGGATATTTCAGGCTGGTTTTTGGGGTATTTTGGGCTGGGTTTTGGGGTGTTTTTTGGGATATTTCAGGCTGGTTTTTGGGGTATTTTGGGCTGGGTTTTGGGGTGTTTTTTGGGATATTTCAGGCTGGTTTTTGGGATGATTTTTGGGTGAATTTGGGGTGTTTTTTGGGTGAATTTTGGGGTGAATTTGGGGGATTTTGGGCCCACCTTGCGGCCCAGCTCGGCCCAGGCCCAGGCCCGGATTTCGCCGTCGCTGCCGCTCAGGAGGAGCCGCTCGGTCGAGGCCAGCGAGTAAACGGGGCCGCTGTGGGCTGGGACCAGTACGGACCAGTATGGACCAGTATGGACCAGTATGGACCAGTA